CAATCATTATAATCAATATTATGAATTAATTTTAATACTATAACTCGTCAATTCTAATTGAGCAAATTATGTAAAATTTACAACCTAAATTTTGAATACCGAGGTGAAACCCAATGAAATGTCCTATACACTTTACTGTAAGTTATAATGAGGCCAAATGTTGTTGCCATGAGTAGTGACGGGATAAATGCAATTTAATGCCAATAGCTGCTTCTTCTAAAACTATTCATAGGAACATTCCCACAGTTCTGCTGTTATGGAAATACAGACTGAATCAAGGGTTATTGATCTTGCTGCACACCGAGCTATGCATAGTTCAAACCCTTTGTACGCCGCCCAGTATTACGTCATTATGCGACTGACCAATCACAAATATTATTTCAGCATCACCATCAAAGAACAACAAAATTGATTACACTACGTAAATTCATTGTAATTGGTTAGATTAAAGATCTGACTAATGAGAAGAAAGTTTATAAAATTTCCTTTACATTGGTACCAAATATGGAGTGCTTGCTTCTAAAATGGAGATATGTACAGCATCGGAAAAGTGCAACTAAAAGGGTAAAAAAGGATCACATTTTTGACATTTTACAGTGAGATACCCTCTGTAAATTGTATAAAAATGTTCTTTTACAGTTGAAAATTGGAAAAAATGTCAAGGTAACATGATTCTTAGATACGTATTGTTAATGTTAATTTTAAGTGATAAAATAGTTTTTTTATTTTCTTTTTTTTCTTTCTTTTTCAATGTATAAATCTTTAGGCCTGATTTTTAATGATTTTTCATTTTAAATTTCATGTTTTACAATAATTATTAATAAGGTAATTTGATACATTATGGAATTGTGAGAGGGGTAATACCAGTGATTCTAAGAACTGTAAAATTTAGGGATGTTAACAGCATGGTGGACTAGTACTGAACCTTATACATAATCTACATGATTTGATATCAATATGTATTACCTTTCAGTTGGTCTACAATAGTTCACGCATATGCTATGTCTTTATAGAACTAGGCTGAGAAACCAATATATATATATCAAATTACAGAGCTTACTACTGTACAATGACAAATAATAATATTTATTATAATATGTACAGTATTCTCATATTGATATATTGCTAATTTCACACTGTTGATGAATATTGATCTTTCTACTGCTATAGGTAAAAACTTCTTTTAATATAGTAATTTTCTGTTTCTGTTTTTCTTGAACTTTTGGTTACTATCAGGATAGTGTGTTTCGCTTTTGCTTATCACATTACTTTGAAATTACATTGCAGCTTCATTCTGTACTAAGAGGACAATCATACACAGATCTCCCTAAAATCATCAGATCTCCCTCAAACCATCAGATCTCCCTCAAATTGAAGACCACTTTTGGGACTGGGGTTTTCGTGGTCTTTAGCAACTTTGGTCTGTAATTAGAATCTTTTTAATTAAAGACCGGAATTAAAAGTGGTCTTTAATCACTACTTAGAAGGAAATTACGAAATGATAAAAGTAAGATTGTTTTATTCTAAGTGTTTTAAAATGGATTTCCAGTTACTGTTCTGCACTCGTTCTACCGAAATCTTAATTACAATACCACTTAAAGCACTGTCCTAAATCAGTAGGCTTATTCAATATTATAGAGCATTGTATACACAAAACATCATCTTATGTTGTGCATTATTTTGATGTATACATTCATATCATTATTTGTTACTTTAAAAAAACTGCATTAAAGTCATTGTATATTGCAATGTATTCTTTATTTGGAAAATGTTCAGTTGGGTCTGGCACAACCTTGACATCATAAATTTATGTTTGATTGTTTTTTTCCAAGTGTTTTAGAATGGATACTGTATGCTAATACTGATTCCTCAAACCATTTTTTGGTAGCCACACATCAAGTCCTGCACTCGCTCCCATGGAGGAATCCATTATAAACACGAAATATGTCCTATAAAAAAACGCAGCAACATCTTTACCTTATTCAATTCTTCCATTTGGATTTCAGCATTAATTTTGATTAATTAATTCTATTATTTATTTCTAAGAAATATAAGAAAAACGTAAAATTGAAAACCATGGAAAAAGAGGACAAATAAATTTGGGGTTATCCCCACAAAAGACTTTCCATTTAAATTTCTCAACATTAATATTTTCATGTTTAAATCATATAACAAAATTTATTATAGAAAAAGTAGCATTAATATCACTATATATTTTATAGTGGTCTTTAATTTGAAGGAAAATTATCAGTTAGGTTCACCAAAATCATGGTCTTTGGTCTCTAAATAGAGAGAGTCTTTAATTGGAGGGAACAGCTAATGAGTCATTCCGGCTCAAATCAGCCAGAAATTTAAATGTGCCCCTATGACCCCCCTTGGATTTTCCTTTAAACATTTCTAAAAATACCTTGATGTCAAAAGAAAGAATCCAAAAATACATTTTATAAATTAAAAACAGCCAAAAATAAACAGGTTTATAACAAAACTGAAAGTGATAAAACCCTCATAAAAAAATTATGATTGTAACCTGCCACTTATCTGTTTGTTGAATCAAGCACATTAAATTATACTGTTGTTCTAAAGTACAAAATGTTAGTGGCGGTTATTTTCACTGTTCATTGCAGATTAAAAATGTCAAAAGTAAAATGTGGTGTAGGCATACCAATGTGAGGAGGTAGTTGGGGGAGGGGGAGGGAACTGATGTTGGAACCGCGCTAAAAATGTTTTGAATAAATGAATGAGTCACCTAGCAAGCAATCCAATGATTGTGGAGTCACTCGCGCATTAGCTACCAAATTAACCAACTATAAACTAATTATAGAAAAATACGAAAATACTCAGTATTGATAACTTTTTACTACAACTGTTTTATAATCAGGCCTACTATGATCCAAAGTTTGATATGTAATTATTGAAATATTAATAAAAGGCTACGTTCAGACTTGGAGATAAGCCAGGCTTGAGTTAAGCCCGGCTCAATGCTAAGCCCGGCTTAACTTTGTGTAAAAATATTAATTAGCATTTTCAGTCACCAAAGTCATTCATTGCATTCTACAAAATTTGAAATTTCTTATTAGTTATTATTAATGCAAAAATCTGCTAATGTTTAGGTTGTATCAATTTAAGTATCATTAATTAATAATAATTAATTAAATATTAACCTAATTACTACATAAATACAATGTACTATAGTATATTTACTGTCTATGTCTCCAATAATTATATAGTGTCATTTACTTTATGTTGGTTTATGTTTTTGAAATAGATATTGAAAGTGTAACCACCCCATAGACTTTGCACGTAAAGCTTAAAAAGGTACGTCGGTATAGTCACAATTTCAACTTCCAATCGAAAATTTCAGTATGATCACGACATATTCAGTTTTTTTAATTCAGATAATTATGATAACGTCACAATGTCTGATCAGCCATAATGATCTATAAAATAATATATTTAAAACTCATGTGCTTTCAGGATATGTAATAAAAATTAGGGGTCACCATGCATCCCAAGGAGCTATAGTTGATTATAAAACTTGGCATACTTTCACTGTATTTTGAACAAACGCATGCAAGGATTCGTATATTTGATGCGCGCGTACGACATTGCTGTTGCCATTAATATGACTGAAGAAGAATAGAAATTTGTGAATACAGTGTCAGGAACACAAATTATGTAAAAAAAAAATGTAATTTCTAGCTTCTGTATGTGCTGTGCGCGTACGGGAAATTAAGATACATGTCATTCGATACGGATCACCAAAAAGATGATGATCTCTGACAATAACAGAGGTGATCCGCATGTAATTGTGGATCACCAATTAATGCAAATGTCGTTGCTAAACTGAACAATTGGCCATGTTTGTTTTGGTCACATGGATACCTTAACGCTGTTTAACACACTCTGGTTTACGTTAACTGGATCTTAGCAGCACATGATTAAATATAAAGGTGCATTAAAAATATTCCCCATAAGTTCTCAAAAATTGAAGTCAGTACATGTAAAACGCTGTACACATTAACTGTAATTGCACTAATTTGAACATTCATCACACAGCTATTTTTATCTGCCTAAGGTACATACAGTAAACCTATTCTTTAAATGGCCCTCAAATGCACACCCAAATTTGGATTGTCACCAACACTTAATTTCTTCCTTGTTTTTGGTTAAACTTTCACGCAAGTTTCATTCGTATCAGTTGATAATTTTTGAAATATCTGGTCTTGGACGTTTTCCTTTGAATGGTCGTCATATCCACACCCTACTCTAGATGGTCAACAAAATTTCTTCATCGAAACATGACAAAATATTCTGGCTAGTGTCATTTAGAGCTAACGATTATTTTTAGAGATACTGTACACTTAGGTCTGGGACCTTAGCATTTTAAATGAACCTCAAATTCCCAACTGAATTTGGATCATCACCAACTTGGTTAAACTTTCACAAAAATTTTCATTCAGAAATGAAATCCTTTGAATTGGTCCTCACATCCACACCCTACTCTGGACGGTCAACACAATTTAATTATTTCTCATTGGCTCATACCTAACACTTAATATAACCTACACGCCGTTATTTTCAATTATGTCTGGCAGTTTTTTAGATAATTCGAACACAAAAAAAACGAAAATGTGACAAACACACACACACAAACTTACACGACTGAAAACATCTGCTGGCGGAGATAATAATAATAATAATAATAATAATAATAATAATAATAATAATAATAATAATAATAATAATAATAAATAATAATAATAAACAGTTTGAAGGAGCTGATTAATCATCTTTAATACAGTTTTTAAAGATTTTATTTTTTTTTACTGTGCAATGTTTTATCATGTATCCTGTTTTATATTATACATTTTGTGGATGTGTGTAAATGCAATAGATTAACGTTATATATACAACTATTTTAATAATCACCGTTTTACTAACTTTATGGAAATATAAAGCAATTCAGTATTCAGTAATTAATGAAACTTAAATTCACTCACCGATGGTTCATTTGACCCAACATATCTTTCTTCATAAGCAGATTCGTCCCCTGATTCTGGTAAATGCATACTCTTTGCCCTGCCAGACAGCCTCTTCTTTAACTCTTTATTATTTATCAAATCTACTAAATCAGCTTCACTATAAGAGTTGTCTCTCGATAATCGTATCAACGGTTTAGAGTTGTTATTCGTCGATTCTGAGAGTGAATTTTCTTTTTTAGCTTTGTGTTTTTGCTTCCTTTTTTTCACCTTTGATCTTGCTTTTAACTTGTGCCATATGCCTTTCTTCTTTTCCTTTTCCTTTTCCTTTTGGTAACTTGTGGATGAAACACTTGATGACCGGAGGCTGCTCCCATCATTCAAACTACCAGTGCTGTCGTTAGCTGAACAATCCCCAACTAAAACAGTAAACAAATTTTGATTAAAAATATCAAATTTTGTGTCACAAAACATTTGAGTGTGGACAGACATACTGTCTGAAATTTGAACAAACCCTTACAAATTTTGATTAAAAATATTAATTGCTCATTTAAAGGAAGTTCAAATACATTATTACATTTTATTTTATACTCACTTTACTTAGATGTTTAAATGTACCTATTTTATTGTCAATTTTGCCGAAATTAATGGACAATGAAATAGGCACAATAATAATAATAATAATATGTGCCAGTATGACATTATTATTGATTATATATCTTGATCTAATCATCAGCAATGTGATTCAATTATTTTGCCCAATATTGTTTATATTAATACCAGTACCAGTAATTGTTAAAATGTCTGTTACTGAACTAGCTACTATGTCTTATAAGGCAAATATTTACAGCTTCTGGCTGACAAATATAGATTAATCTTCATTTGTCATACAATAACTTACAACAGTACATGAAATCATATTTCCTGCAAGTATCATGTACTAAATGGCATGTTGAAAACAAGATAGAAATTTCAACTTTGCAATTTATGAAATGCATTGTTGAATAAAGAATACATATCACACACTAAAAAACACCTTGGTAAATCACCACCATACACAGAGTACTTAACTGCAAATTCACAGGTATTTTTTATCACATTTAATAATTCATTTTTACACAATTAGAAATACAGTAACACTATGTGCACATATCAATATTAAAACAACAGGTATTCATTTATTTATTTGTCTGGGAGTTAAATTATTAAAATACAGGGGTCCCAAATGTCATGTGAATTGTGGACACTAACCTATTTCCTGCAAATTCATGATGTTTGCATGTTTCTTTTCTACTGATTTATCAACTGAGATAGGCTTTTAGAAGAGACTTCAATAGTTTTGGAGGCAAAAAAGAAAACATACTGTACTTGCACCATTCATTCATTTAACCATTAATTATTGCAATTTAGATTACAATATGAATCAATCTAGTACTAGTAGACCTGTCTATCGCATACTGTGGGATTTCCTTCCAGCAAATGCAAGCCCTGGAGTATATGTTTGAAAATTTTATTTATATGAGATTGTTTTTATTGATGCCAGAAAACATAGAAAATAAAGATGACTTGATTGAAATGCAGTTTGCACCAGCATTGTTTATTCATGGTGTTCATGGTCAAATCAACCATAAAAATAATTTTATTGAAACATATTTTTTTTTTAAATGCATTCCGCATTAGATTTTTGGAAAAATACATCAACAATACGATAACAATTTTTGTTAGTTAACTTCAGCATAAAAATAGGAGTACTGTACTCACCAATTGTATAAAGACGCTATACAATAAATTACATAGTTAAAGCTAGAATATATACCTTAACTCTGAATATTTCTTGCCCAAGCCACTGGTGACCCTCTGAGATAGGGCGGAGATTGCATTATTATCAAAACAAAGGAAGGGCTTCTTACAATAACTCAGGTATTTGTTAAATACCAAAATTACTGACCTTGATTAAACAGTAAACTATAAAAAGAACAAATATGCTATCTACAGTAACTAGCCCTTACCCACTGGGAAAAGACATTCCTATAAAAATTGTACCAATTTTCTAGCTATTTTCTAAAATAAATACATGTCAATTAAGAATTTCAATGAGATAGTTAAGTTAGTGTCTTACCAATTTGATATAATTAATTATATTTCCAAGCATATTCAGTTTTGTTTATTTTTGAGTGTAAAAATCCCTTAACACCTTCATCCATTATTTAGAATTCTACAATCTCACCTACAGGAAATGGCTTATAGGAAACATCTTTAATCTATCCAACCTTTCCTAACGATTACTTACATCCTGGTAAAAAGGATACATATCAGGAAGTATTTGTCAATTATCAATAATATTTCAAAATGCTTACTATACTTGTTCAATCTCATGCTGTGTATTTTGCTTGTTCTTAGGCAAGCCACTTTACCTATGGTTGTCTCTCTCCACCCAAGAGTACAAGTGGGTACGAAGGTAGGTTCAATGACACAATGCACTAATTACAGTACAGCTGCAAAATTATGGATTTCTTCTCAGGGACCTGAGTATGTGCCCCATGTGCTTGATCCAGTGACCAGGGTTAATAATGTTAAGCACATTGAGGTCTCTACAATATGCACTGCCAGGAGATTATTATATTTTCAGTCGTGCAAGTTTGTGTGTGTGCGTGTGTGTGTCACTTTTTTGGGTGCGTGTGTGTGTGCGTTTCTGTTCAAAATATCTCAATAGTGGCTGCACAGATCACAGTTACAGGGAGTGTTATAGGTATGACCTAAATATTTCTAAAAATAATCAATGGATCCAAATGACACTAACCAGAATACTTTGTCATGTTTCAATGAACACATTTTTTAATTTTGGTAACCATCCAGAGTAGGGTGTGGATATGAGGACCATTCAAAGGAAAACGTCCCAGACCAGATATTTAAAAAACTAATCAACTGATCTAAATGAAACTTTTGTGAATGTTTAACCAAGTTACAGGGAAGAAATTATTAAGTGTTGGTGATGATTCTATGTAGGGCAGGCCTCGAATTTTACCGCAGCCATTGCCGACGGTGCCCTCCCAGTTCGCCTTGGTGCCCCTGAAAATGAAGCATGACGACGGCCACTACCTGCCTGCCCTTTTCAAGCCTTGGCCTCAGTGCCCTCACGATGCTTAATATAGATCGTTTGACAGGTAAAATAAATCTAAGTAAGAACGTTTAATTAAATCTTGAAAGAAAACACGAAAGCCAAAAACGTAGGTCGCCTAAGCTAGCCTAGGCCAGGTTGCAGTGACAGAACAGAACATGAGAGAATTTCCATGTGTGTTGATACAAACTGTTTTTGCGGTTACAGTTGTGTGCGCATGCATCTTACTCTAGAGGTTATTGCAATATAAACATGGGCTCATTCGACTGGTTCATTTCGTTGGAACGAATTTTCGTTGAGTATTATTTTCATTCGACTAGTTCGTTAAATTGACTTCGCTGACAACGAAAATTAACGTAAACCAGAGTGCGTTAATCAGCGTTAAGTTATCCACAGTTATCCACGTGACCAAAGAGAAACATGGCCGATTGGTGATTTTTTATTAACAACATTTACGTTAATATAACTTAGATTAAATTTCATAAAATAAACATTATAATATTTACCCACAAATCATGGGCAAATCATTTCGAATTACAAAATCTGGAAATTCCCAGAAACCCAGACTAAAAGTGGAAATACAGTAGTGCCCCTCTTTGAAATAAATAGTGTTTGGGCTGGTAGTGGTGGTGGTTGAAGTAAATTAGGAGCATATTTTGGGAGATTTATTTCATAGAAATGGACTTGCAATGGGCGAAAATATGCTCACTACTGAGTGCTCTCACTATTATCATTGCAGGTTTCCAGACCTCGCAAACAGGTACTGCACATTCCCCAAAAAAAGAAGCAAGAATTGCCTTGCCAGACGACATGGTTGAAGACTCACAACAAATTTTCTCAAACTGGTAATAAACCTTAACAGTTATAGTAAGTATAAACAAGAAATATTTCCTATAAAAATATGTTGCAACATGTTTAACTTATGACTGGTTTGTATTTCCGAACTTAATAATTAAATGTATACTTGAGAATGACCTATATTATCTTCAATGCATTTCTTTTATGGTATGACACATAAACAACAATAATAGCCTACAGGTAAAATTTGTTTACGCGTGGTTTAACAATAGCCACAGAATTATTTACATTGCGGTCACAGGATTAAAATAATTTTTTAAAAACCCATTCCAAACAGTACTCCACATTAGAAATGTAGAAAGTGTGATACATGATTTGATGTAGGCCTAGGCCTAGCATATAAACTTTCGTTAGCTTGTGTTCTTACCATTATTGTTATTATTATTATTATTATTATTATTATTATTGATAATATTTTATATTATTTATTTGCATTATTATTATTATTGATAATATTAATATGCTGGCTGGGTTGCACGAGTTACAGATCAGTGTTCTCCCGACGCCGGTTTAGCCGTCAATTTTACCGGTAAAAATAAACGGCCGACCGGTAAAATTTTGGTTTAAAAAAAAAACCCACTGAATTAGGCCTAGCTTTAGGCCTAGCCCGAGGCCAAGCTTAGTATAGGATCGGCCTTCCTTCTTCAGGCCTCGAATCATACATTAGCTATAATTTATCTCCAGTTTCACCAACGAAACTTACAAACCTTGATTAAAAACCACAATACTGTTCGTTGACAAGACAGCGATGAATGACAGCAAATTTTTGATCGATCGACTCGAAAAAACAAGCAAGCATCGCAAAACTTTCATCTCTCCCCTTAGCTGCAGGAATTTGTGCAATAGACTCGTAATCCAGACGAATTTTAAAACTGGTGGAGTTGTATTATACTTGTAGCAGTTTTTCAATACGTCTGGAATGAGAGTCTGAGTTGTATAAATTCCTGTAGCTTTAATAGGCGGACTATCGTTCGCAAAAGTTTTCCAATGAATTGTTCGCTCTGGAATCAATCACGAAGAAACGAACTGGCCAAGCCAGACTGGAGGCGTTTTTTTTACGAAAAGGTTGGTAATGTTTACTGAGTTTTAATTATGATGAGTTTAAATTATCTTTGAGAATTTCTTAGTTTATTTGATTTAATATGCCTAAATTTCCCCGATGTTTTAATGAATAAAAGATAAAATGGGACCTCCCTTCATTCATCATACGTACTCATAGCCGTTTACAAAACAACCACATTAACTTAGCGGCTCCTACCTATAACTGTCCAAAACCCAAGTGATATGCAAAGTAGAAAGGCTACGATAATGCTGTAATTAATAATAATAAAACCGTATCAATTAGCGCCTTTTTTAATCTCAGTTTCGGTGAGGCATGCCCTTGGCAGGCGCTTTTTGCATTTTTAGGGCAAAAGGATCACTACTAGCTTAGAGTAGTAGTTTATGGCCTGCGTGCGGAATGTAGACCTTTCCTTCGCGCAATAATTTGGCCTAGAAACCCGTCTGCGCATCGTGCAAAAGGAGAGCCGATTTCTGCTCAGATTTTGCCGAAAATTAGGCTTTGATCTTTAATATATAACCAATGCAATTATGCAGCAATTACGATTACGCGCACACCTATTTTCCTAGCGATTTTTAGGTACTGTATCCTTCGCGCAATTAAACTTTAGTGTGTGGCCCCTGTGTATAGGCTGCAGCAGAGTACATCGTTATTAATGTTATTATTACTTTTTGTTTGTAAAACATCACAGTTTGTAAATTAAGTTTATTCAGAAAATCATCACAAATACTTTAAAACGTACCTGCCTCTATGCTCAGCTGTCCATACTTAATCCAGGAAATTGAGATGCTAGCAATATTATTTATGTTGTAAAAACCAATGATATGGTGCATGATGTTATGAGAAGTGAGCTTGCATTATTAAATCCATTGATAGAACAGTCTCAGTCTGGTCCTTTTTCATTCCCTTCATTAGTCTTTTTGACAAGTGTTAAAAGTAAATTCACAACGAAAAATTTACTTTAAAAAATTGTTAAAGATCATACTTCAGTGTTGTAAAATACTGTCTAAATGCAGCTGAGAATGCACCAGAGAGCCCCCCCCCCCGAAGGGCTGGCGCCTCGCACTACGCGCTCGGCAAGCTTACTTACAACTGATTTACCAGTAAAAATTTTTTAATTGGGAGAACACTGCAGATAAATTCCATCATAGCCAATTTTTATGCTTCAGCTTTAGACTGGCTAGGACCTGTTGAACCCACAAATTTGAAAACGTCTACAAATGTAACAACACACGGCCCACAAATGTAATAATGCCACAAATGTAACAACCAGTGAACATAAATGTGATAAACAGCGCCCACAAATGTTAAAACTATCATCGCCCACAAATATGATAACGCCCACAAATTTAACAACAAAACACGACCTTCGCCCAAAAATGTAATAAATTTCTTTTTTTAACTTTCGAATGTAGGAGATAAGGCCCAAATGTGGCCAAACCACGCATTTTGTGACAGAAGCATGACATTTTGAGCGTTTGATTTATACAGTATTAGGCGAAGAGTCATTTTATAAAGGTCTGGCAGGGACCCCCACTAGCTAGGCCTACTATTCTCAGTTTCTGTGTGGCTATTTTTTTTTAAATTTTTTTTTTAGGATTGTCAATGATGGGTTCATACGATGAAGAGCATAGATGCACTATCCTTCTTTAGTGAATATATCAGACAAGTTTTTAATGAAATCGGAACATGCTGTGTTAAGCAAAGGCCAAAAGTTTTACTGTGAAAAGTAAAGCCTTAACAGTTGAAGATTTCATCATTGCAATAGAGACAGCGTGCGAGTCATTACCTTACGACCAACATGACATTGTTCGAGGTAAGATCACCACAATATTGAAATCTGCGAAGGCTCCTCCATCTAATCTCAAAAAAGATGAACTGTCAGCCCTCTCTTGCCTAAGGAAATACAAATCTATTATGATTTTACCGGAGCCCTAATAAAGGCCAGGCTACGGTGGTACTTAACTCCAAAGATTACATAGCGAAAGTAGAAGGTATGTTGGCTGATAAAAATGTCTACAAACCAATTAAAGATAATCCCACTCTGAAATTCAAAAGACAATGTGTTTGTCTTAAACAAATTATTAGAAGAAAAGAAATTTACACACAGGTCACGAATTTGAAGGCGGCCACAGTGGCAAATCCCTCCCAGTTGGCCTTGGTGTCCCTGAAAATGAAGCACGACGACAGCCACCACTTGCCTGCCCTTTTGCAGCCTTGGCCTCAGTGCCCTCATGACACTTAATATAGATCGTTTGACATGTAAAATAAATCTAAATAAGAACGTTCAAATCTTGAAAGAAAACACAAAAGCTAAAAACATAGGTCGCCTAGGCCTAGATAAGGTTGCAGTGACAGAACATGCGAAAATTTCCATGTGTGTTGATACAAACTGTTTTTGCGGTTACCGTTGTGGTAATTGCAGTAAACATGTGCTTGCTGTGCAGCTAACGTTGGGCGATCTGACATTATCGCAACTTAAGCGTGTGAAATTAACCTAATTGGCTGACACTCGGCTAATCTAGTTGATGACGGCCAGTTTAGAGGTGTGGCCTCCTCTCCGATGATGTCGCTCTGAGCAACAGCATCAGATATTGAACTTCTTGAACTTTTACTGTTTTGTTTACGATTGCCGACCGCCCCAAAAAACTAAAAGTTTATTCCAACATTGAATCGATAATACAGGTAGTTAATACTCTAAACAAAGTCATTTTACCATTGACAACGATGGCTTGGCTAGGCCTAGCTTGCCTGGCCTAGCCTCGCTACGAATCAAGGCACTCGCGAGAGATTAGTACTGAGGTTAAATCAAATTTTGCCTCGGTGCCCTTTTATATTTGAAATTTTTGGCCTTGGTGCCTTACCATTTGGCCTTGGTGCCTTTCAAAATCATGTCATATTACCGGAGGCCATTTGGCCTTGCCCATAAAATCCCCAAATTTGAGGCCTGTACACACACGCTTAAATAGAAATTGTTTCCCACAGCGGAGATCGCTCCCAGACTGTACTGTTTGCCGAAAATCCACAAACCTAAGTGCCCCCTTCGCCCCATTTTGGATAATATGAACACAATTTTTACCAAACATCTAAACTACTTAGAGATCTAATTGCTCCACATGTTGGAAATTCTGACTATCATATGAATAATTCTAAACAACTGGCTGAAGAATTAAAGGAACTGATTATAGACCCCACTTAACACTTTGGTTTCTTTTGATGTCACTTCATTATTTACCACAACCCAACAAAACAAGCCATTGACATTATAAGATCTCGACTTAATAAAGAAAATGAACTACTCAAAGTTACCCAATCATCATTGAAAACAAACTTTAGTATTGACAACATTATCAATTTGTTAACCAAGGTGTTAGACACCACATACTTCTCGTTTAATAACAAATATTGGGCAATTCCAGGCAAAAGTGGACATGACATGTAAAATTTCATATTCCTTGTGTGGCCTTTGTTTTGTTTTTACTTGCAAAATAAATATAATAATCTATAAGTCACTACAGACAAAAGGTAAGTTTATGAATTACTTAAAATCTCATTTAATTTACAAAATAATGGTTCTGATGAAAAGATAGATGCATTCAATTTTTGTTTTTACTTGTAAAATATTGAAGTTTTGATAGGGCTAGCATGTGGCATTATTTTAAAAAAAATTATTTTTTGCTTATCAGATATTTGCATATCAAATATGTAAATCTGTTACTAAACCGGTAACAGAATGATGGTAGAATTACAGGTTACAAATAATGGAACTGAAATGCAAAAACAATTTTGATATCAAATGATATGATAAAAATCAATATTTTCCGAACATCAGCTCAGAATTTTTTTTTTTTTGCTACATAAAAAAATGTTTGGGAATAAATATAATAATCTATAAGTCACTACAGACAAAAGGTAAGTTTATGATTTACTTAAAATCTCATTTAATTTACAAAATAATGGTTCGGATGAAAAGATAGATGCATTCAATTTTTGTTTTTACTTGCAAAATTATCGATAAACAAACTTTAAAAATTATATAATAATTCCATCAATCTGCTACCGAAAAAACAATAAATTTTCTTTTTATTTTTAAAGCTTGACATTAAAAAATATTGAAGTTTTGATAGGGCTAGCATGTGGCATTATTTTTAAAAAAAATTATTTTTTGCTTATCAGATATTTGCATATCAAATATGTAAATCTGTTACTAAACCGGTAACAGAATGACGGTAGAATTACAGGTTACAAATAATGGAACTGAAATGCAAAAAATACCCAAATCAGTTATTACATGGGCTTTATGCAACAAATTAATATAGTTGGAAATGTTTCACCACAAAAAATTCTGGATTTTCCACTTATAATTTTAGGAAGTAATCATAGGTCAAAAAGTCATTCAGGAGAAAAAAACACAAAAATGCCTCATTTTCATGGTGACCTTTGACCCTGTGGGCAAGTAATCTTATTGTTAATACTCGCACCATGAATTAATTTATATATGATGATCATATGTTCAAAATATCAGTTTGGTGTCTTTACCCTTTCATGTTTAAAAATTTTTAACAATATCTGTGCATTAATGTGACATCATTAATTTTTGAATAACGATAATATATTAACAGTAATCTGTCTAGAGCCTTGAAACTTATAATTCTAAAACAACTTTATGTGCTTATTGCAGGCATGCAGTTTAAGGGATACAGTGTTTAATTAGTAAGATATTTTGCCCCAAAAATGGCAAGAATTGCACAATTGTGTGAATATATTGAAAAATCTCAAATGAGCATAACATTAACAGTGTACTGTTCAGAACCATGAAACCTTCTAGTACACATTAGTATAGCCGATAGGCAATTTGTCCGTTATATCGTGATTTTTCGATCTTACTTGCGCATTTGCTTTGCGCAGCACCACCTATCGTTTCAAAGCGTAACCACGTTTTAGCGTCGCTTAGCAAAAATGCATCAGCTCTATTTATTGTTCTCATTAATAGATAAGGCCCGCCCATGGCTTCCTTATATGGTAAAAACATTTCCAAATAAGTCTAGTTTTGAAACTAATCTGAGTTGTCTGGGAAAACCCACGTTAACGCAAAGCATTTATCGATTGAAGTTGACGCATGTGAAATAGTGAAAATCTGGTACGATTTGACTAGGCTTTTATTTACAATTTTCTCCAGAGTCGGATTTGCATCCCCGGGAATCAATATTTTTTTGTAGTGTTGATTTATCATGTTTAATCTTAGTTTAGTCAGGTAAGACCTGTCTCAAATCTGTTCAAAAATTTTTAATCATACTTATACACTGTAGGCCGTAAAATTCTAGGCAATATTTTGAGCATGTGTGAGCACGCGGTAGTCGTAGCTGAGTGACATTGACTGCAGCCGTGGGCCGCATGGTGGTGCGATCCATTGTTGTACTAGCCTAGGAGTAGGCGTCTGACAGTGAAGGCAGACTGAGGCTTTGTTAGTTTAGGATAGACCATGTGTACTACTGTATTTATTTCCATCTAATTTCTATAATCATACTGACCAGCCTAGCTAGCTGGTCAGGATTTATTTTAATGCTATAATAGGTATATGTGATGTCTATATAATATTTGATGAAACATACACAGTAGTACAAAGGATAGAGTCAGGCATAAGATTAGGAGACACAATAATACTATACTTTTTTATATTTATTAAAATTTGGCATGTTCATATACAAAAACGCATGCAAATGAAGTACAAAAAAAACAGACTGGTTATAGCGGAATACCAAAAGAGAAATGGGCTTCTTAAAGCCTGGCACCAAAGAGAATTCTCTCGAAATCGCTAACCTGTAAAAAAAAAAAGACAAAAAAACAAGGTACAGCCTATATCACTAGTGTAGTGTGTTTCACAAAATATTATTTCGGGCATTGTGACTGAGATACAATAACAAAATAAAGTTGCTGTCGCAAGCACAATTTGATTCATGTTGTAATAATTTTAATTAATAACCCAGGCTTTAGTGTTAGTAAAAAATACCAAAAGCATACCAATCTCTATATTATTGAATACACTATATATATGTAACCAATATAATTTATTTATTTTTAGGCACACCAATTTCAGATTCTGTACAGATTTGCAGACAACGACGGTTATGAACGTGCAATGTTAAAAACTTTATAATGATGCTTAAGGATTCAACCATTAAACTCTAATCTACTCAGAATGCCGCAAATGCAGCAGAATAGCCTGCCTATGGAAAAACAAAAACTTGCTTTTTAAAAAAAATAAAAAACACTGCAGCAGTGTTGTTATTGATTTATTTTTTTTTTGCTTTGCTTTGTTTATAAAGAACAATTGTCTTCATTATTATTATTACTATTATTACTTACAGAAGAAATAAGCATACTAATTATGTTTAATACTTATGCAAATATAAATAATTTCTTATTTTGGTCAGATTTTTTAGTAAAGTACCAACCAGAAAATGAAATGTTGTCTACCTCAGTACTCT